TTAACTAAAAAATTTAAAGATTTTAACCATAAACGAATGGAATTCATTAACTCTCTATTAAAGTAAGAATAAAATATTTATGAAATCAGTTCTCAAATTTTAAAATTATAATAATTTAGTTTTTAAAATTAAAAAATTAGTAAATTAAAAATAATTAATATATTACTTTATTATATACACGAAAATAGTATTAAATATTTACAATTAAATTGAGTTATTAACTTAATCTAAAGAAAGAAATTTGATTGAAATTAAAGAAAATTTTTTGATTATATTTTTTTAGGCTTTTAAACCTGTTGTCTTAATTCAGTTAAAATTTTTTTAGTCTAAATTAGAATTTTTTCTTCAAATTGAACTAATCACTCAATTTGATTATAAATATGTAATACAATTTTAGTATATATGAGAAAGTATTCTATTAATTTTTTTTAGTTTATTATTTTTTTTAATTTTTAAACTTTTAGAATTAAATTATTGTATTTTTAATCTTTCAGAACTAATTCTGAAAATATTTTATTTTTATTTTAATAAAGAGTTAACGAATTATATTAGTTTATATGTTAAAATCTTCAAAATTTTAAATTTAAATATTAAAAACTTTATAATATAAAGTGAAAAATTAAAAATTTTAAACATAATAAAGTAAGGGACAAAACTCATACTTCAACTGTTTTTAAAAATATTAATTAAAAAATAAATTTTTACAGATATTCTCTAAAGAAATTTAAAAGAACCATTTATAAAATACTTTTCCCATAAAAATTATAATTAATTTATTGTGTTGTGGTACCATAGTAAACATTTTTCAATGACTTATTTTCACTTTCTCTTTTACATTAAAACACTACTAGTAGAAAATAAAATATAATTTCAATGAATTATTTTCACTCTCTCTTTTACATTAAAACACTACGAGTAGAAAATAGAATATAATCTTTCCCTTTTCAAATCTTAATTAAGGTTTAGGCTGTTTTTCTAACACTTTTTATACTCACTATCATTAAAGTGTCTTTTAATATATAAGTAACATTAAAGTGTTACCTCACCTTTTTTTTCAGTACAGTACATATCAAATGATTGAAACTTTGGTAAAAAAAGAAAGAAAGAAAAGAAAATTCAAATTCTGATAATA